TTTCTTTTCTTTTCTTTTCTTTCTATTTTTTTAAGGTTTGGAAAGACGCTGCCACACAGATTTTTTTCTCCTTATCTGCAGCCTGGGGAGGGTTAATTACTCTCTCTTCCTACAACAAATTCCATAATAATTGCTACAGGTATGTGAGAGTGAAATTCAGCAGTCTTATTAAAGTGGCTTTGACCAAAATGACAGTCATCTTTGAACTTGCAGAAATCGGTAAAGAAATAGAAAAGAGAGCCTCTATTTTTTTTCCTCCCTGCATTGAAGTCTAGTAGAGGAGGTATGGGGTTATTATTGTCCCTATTGACTATTCGTTTTTAGAATAATCAGTTTGAAGTTGAAAAAAGAGGCTGTCAACAGCTGTGAACAACGTTGAAGCTGTTTGAGCTTGAAATTTGTCATTATGTGAGACAAGCAGGAGTGTCATTTGCAATTTCTGTGCACATGATTCTTGGGTCTCTCCGGGAAAATATTGCTTTTGCAACTCTACTTATTCTGGTTTTGCATGCACAGAGTTATCTCAAGTTGTAGTATTTGAAATAACTTTATTTGAAATCCGCAAATATATCATTTTTACAAGGAAAACCATTGTTCTGTTGGCACAGGATCATTTGGGAGAATGTTCTCCTTGGGTTTTGAGCCTCCAAGTCCTATCAGGTTTTGGGTACTTGCATTTTTGCCACGCCACAGAGCAGATACTTCGACATTAGAAAATGTGGATCAGGATTTTAAAAGAGAATTACTCGGATATTTCTGATTAGTTTTCAAAAGGCCTTTAATGTATTTATGTAAAGATATGGGTGAACAGACAGCAATGCTGTGCCTGCAGTTATTCTTCTATTGCAGTCTTTTACGACTTTGGGGGGTTTTTGACTTTTTAAGTTTTGCAGACTTAAAAAGTCCTCTGTTCCAAAGTGCTTGTCCTTTGTTTTGCTTTGTTGATGATCAATGGAATCAGGAAAATCTGATTCAGGTTATCAGGGCAGGAATGAAAAAAAGGACAGCCCCCATGCGACCTTTCTGGATTCATTTAGCAATGGTTTATGGAGCTTGGAAAAGTTAAGAGAAGGTTTGAAAGAAATACATGGCATTGAGGCATGAAAATCTTAAAAATCTAAAGCTGAATATTTTCCTTAACCTAGTAGAGAGGAATTTTGGGGACTGAAGCAGAAATAATTAGAAATGCTTAATTGCTTCTGATGTGATTAACCTTAAAACACACCTTTTGCACTGAAATGAAGCCCAATCATTTTCCCTTTCGATGTTTACATTCCTTACTTTCTAAGATTGCAGATAAAATTCTGTTTACTAGTCATGTCCTTTTTAAACACAATGAAATCAATTATAATTGAAATATTTTTTAATAAATCCCCTTCCTAATACAAACCTATGTATATATATGTAGGCATGTATATATACATATATACACGTATTTTTATACATGTGGATACCTGTGTGTATGTGTATATATATAGGTTAAAATTTATCTGGATTTTGGAAGAAGATTAACACACGCTGATTCCAAACAGAATGCTGCCATTCCTCCCATAGATCTGAAGAATCAACTTAATCACTCATGTTATGGGATGTCCTTTTAGAGATTCCCAAAGTTCACAATTCTTGGCACATTTTTGGCTTGTATTTCGTTCTCTCATTTACAAACAAATCACAGTTAGAAGGTGCAAAATGCTGAAAAACTTTTAAAATAAGTGACTTTTTTTTTTTTTTTCTCTCCAGTCACTAGCAATTTAAGGGGAAGTCTTATGACTTTTGGAGGACAAAATAAAGATCCTACCAAGACTGTAAGAATTATGGGCAAGAATCCCAATAGCTTCTTTCCTCTGTAGTTACCTGTGCTAAACCAATTTAGTGTGATATTCACGTAGGTTTTTCTTGAGTTTCCCATAATAATGACAACCAAAAATGGAACTTTCGCTTGCATGTACTACAGCAGCGATGAGGATTTTCTTTATTTTGTTTTCTTTTCTTTTCAGGGACACRCTGATAGTCACATGCACCAACAGTGCCACGAGTATATTTGCAGGCTTTGTCATCTTCTCGGTTATTGGCTTCATGGCGAATGAACTCAAAGTGAATATTGAAGCTGTAGCAGACCAAGGTATGGTATTCTGCCYGTTGGATGCTCAGGACAGGTTCTGGAGGTGGAGGTGCATGGTGGCACTTCAAGCTGATAACACTGACAAGATTGATGATGGAAATGGGAATACTGGCTTCAAATTGGATTAGTAAATCTCTTGTAGGCATCTTTTGTAGAGCTGAATTTTTCTATAGCAATTATTGTCACTGTGAAGTCAAGAAGGCCTCACTTAAGGACTCCTTATCAATTGTTTGCACTTAATGCACTTAATTGTTGCACTTAATGCACTTAATCAATTGTTTGGTAAGAAGAAGTAAACAGCTGAGAGTGATTTCTATTTTTTATATAAATGACTCGCAGTTTAGTGTGAAATCTCCATTTCCTATACTCCAATAATCACTGGTCCTCACTCCTGCCTCTGCTGCTGCCTTGTCACGTCCACTTGAAGCTAAAAGTTGTCCTGAATGGTGAGAATCTTGGAGGAAAAGGCTTTGAGATGAGGGCAAGGGGAAAAATTGTGGTCTAAGTGGTGAAATGTGCTTCTGAGCTGTGGGGAGCGAGTTGTTGTCTCAATAGAGAGAGAAAAAATCTGAAAAAAAACCCAAAGAAATGAACTGCTAATGTGATAGTGCAAATGTGAAGACCCTGGCTAGTGAACTGAAACGGTTATCAATGGGGATTGATAATGTCCTAACCGATAGAGCAGCGTGTGAATGAGAAGAGCGTGACAAATGGATGAGCTGGTGCTGTTGCRCGGTAGGAAGACGTGTGAGATGGAAAGGGAGGAGCTTTTGGGGTAAGATTTGGAGAAACCCAAAGAGTTACAAACATCTGATGGATGAATAGGGGGGATAACTACTCGAGTCCTGCCTTGTCCAGAAAAACTGTTGGGGTAGGAACAGTCRTCAGTGATGCGGTTGAAGTTTCCTYCTCCTTCTTCTATGGGAATGAGAGGGAAAAAAAGGCTCTTAATTCATTTTTGTCTTTTCCTTCTCTGGAAGCTGAAACATGTGCATAAGCAAATGGACTTTGCAGTATGTTTCCTGACATGAGAGATACCAATAAAGATATGGAGTCATATTTCATTTCAGTCCCAACTTGGGTTGTTAAGCTGCAGCACAAATGCTGGTATTAGGTGAGCTGTAGCTCAGCTGTAGAAAGTTAGGCTGGATCCTGCTGTGCTGTGGACTCAGCCTGGGATTTGAGAGGAGACCTTCACAGGATGGATGGATGGCAAACTCTGCTGCTTTTAACAAGTAGTTAGGGATACTGATTCAGACCTTTTTATTCTGATTCAGCTCTCAAAACTGCTTGTGTAGATATTGTCGTTCACTCTCCCGCGACAGTTCCCCAGTCTTGATCCATTCACTTTGGATCAAGTGCGAGAAAAATCCTTGCCATAAAATCAGGTGTATTAGGAGTAAGGTTTCCATTAATCTTTTTGTTTTAAACTTTGCTTCAGGTCTTAAACAAAAAACAGACTCTCCACCAAAAAACCAAACTGCATTGCAGCTACGGAAATGATTGTGCAGTAATTAATCACGTTAAATTCGAACCAAAACAAGTGGCTCCAGTTGTTTTGGCAGTTATTTCATAAGAAAARCTCTCAGCAGACAGATATTATGGCAGAACTGTTGGTGCAGTCATATAACCCATTTAAGCCAGTTAAAAACACCTCGTTGGCTTTTTCACTCCACTTCCACAGAGATAGGGAGATAAATATTAGAAGAAATTTCTATAGCAGGAGGACAGTGAAAATGGGGAAAAAAATGTTGATTGCATTAACATATTGGAAAAGCAAATTAAAAAGTGGACACAGCTCGGGGAGGGGGGAAATGAGAAACCTCTTGTCCCCACCTTCCTGGTTTTCGTTTAGTTTAGTTTGGTTATTTTTTGTTGAAAAGAACAAAACAGAAAAACTGATGGCTATAAATGACCTCATTTCATGTTTCCCAAAGTTGGAGTGAAACCATTAATAGAAATAGAAAAGGTTTTTTTAGTGGTGTTGTTTTTACTCAATTTTTCTATAGTATAAATCAAAAAATAAATCTTTTATTACAATAACATTATTATAATAAAATATAATTATAATACAATTAATTTATTATAATATAACATATTATTTTATAATAATAATAAATTAATATTTTATTATAATAATATAAATATTATATATAATAAAAGATATATATATATTTATCTTTCTTTTGGAAAACATTGTGTGCCTTATGAAAAAGACTATTTCAATGGTGGGACAGCAGGAAAACCTGTTTGGTTTCTAATCTCAAATTTTGAATAAGGCCATACCGCTGTAGACAAATTATCCAATTTTAGAGCAAAATTTGAGGTAGTTAGGCTTTCCATTGCAGGATATGTAAAAGTTCCCCCGACTTTTACAGTCAGCTTATATCCACCTTGATCTCCAAAATGTGTATTTTGGAGAACGGGGCTTGCAGAGAGGGGCGAGGGCTAAGCAGGGAGCAGCTGGTGCCCGCTGACCTGTGCGTGGCTGCTGTGGGCATTAACGTGGTATTTTGGAGTTAAGCAAGGTCACGATGGAGAGATGTGCAGCTTCACTTCACTTAATTCAACCATCCCACAGGCTGGGATTACTGGGAACTGGTTTCAGACTTGATTTAAACCTCTAACTGAGGAAAGCTGGTACCAGCAGAGCCCCTTTCTCTGAAAGTGAATAAGACATTTTTCATGAAGAAAGRCAATCTGTTTGTGAATAAGTGATATTTCCAAATACACCTTGCTCTTCCAAAAAACTCTCTGCAGCAAATTTTAAAGACAGCAACATGATTGGGTCAGGTACAGATTTTTTTTTTTAACAGAATTTCAGTGCATTTTTCTTATTTGTATCAGCATAAAAAGGGTAGACATGGTTTTTTTTTGCCACTTGGAAAGCAGGAATGTACAAACACTGTGAAATTTCTAGCCAAAATAAAATCAATTATTTAAGGCTAAATTTTGCAATTTTTTATAAAACCTTTTTTTTTGTAAATAGAAAAAAAAGAATCTTACCCTTTTCACCTTCCTCAAGCACAGTAATGTTATATTCTATTTTAAAATGTGACCCATCATTGCTTTTCTCTTTGACTTGACCAACAATGTTAGGGTGAAGCAAGACACCCAAACMTTTATTTTTCTCATTTCTAGGTCCTGGAATTGCTTTTGTGGTTTACCCAGAAGCCTTAACAAGGCTTCCCCTTTCTCCGTTCTGGGCTATAATATTCTTCTTGATGCTTCTGACGCTTGGACTGGACACGATGGTAAGGCTTTGGTTTCCCTTGCCTTTTCTCTCGCTCTGTCAGTCCATTCTTCTTGAAGATCGTGAGAGATGTGTTCAGTTAAATGCACTGTCAACAGAAGGATGAAACAAAGCCATGAGTGCTGCATTCCTCTAAATGAAATTCAGCAATAGCAGCTGAGCATTTMGTATCTAAGCCTCTAAACTCAGTCTCCTATTTCAATGTACCAAATTAGATCCTTCTGTGTGTGTAGTACGCATTGATTCTTTTATTTTATCTTTCAGTTTGCCACTATTGAGACGATAGTGACCTCGGTTTCAGATGAGTTCCCCAAATATCTGCGTACACACAAGGCGCTGTTCACGCTTGGCTGCTGCATTTCCTTTTTCATCATGGGATTTCCTATGATTACTCAGGTAATTCCTTGCGTTTTGTCTTGGAGCAACACTGGCTGTCCCCAATACTCCTCTAGTGGCTGTTCTAGTCTTGGGCAAGAAACAGCTGCATAAGATTAAACCGCTTTAATGGCCTTAAATTTGCATGGGCAATGCGTGGTTTTGAAAGCCTTTTTTTTTTTTTTCTTGGAGATGAGAGTCTTGGCTGCTCAAATATTTCTGAAAATTAGGGTGTTAACCAAGCATTCCCAAAGTAGTCACATAAATAGCTGTTCTCTGGGGATTTATTTATGAAGTTGAAATAGTATAGAAAACTGTACAGTATTTTGAGGTGCCTTTTCAGGTGCCTACAGTTTAGATATATATTGAGAGTCCTGAAGAACTGTGGAGTTAATGTAATTCTCATCTACCTTTGATAGTGCTCCCTGTCTTTGGTCTACCAGTTCCTCCAGCATGGTCACTGTGGGCAACTTCAAGAGGAGGCACAGAAAATACTATAGTCTTTCTTCTGTCCTTTTTTACCCCTCTTTTTTTCTCACTCTTATCTCTTACCACACCAAATTTGCTGTTCTGAAGCCAAGGATGCATAATACTCAGTCGTTCTTTTACTTGAATTGCAGTGCTTAACTGCCGTCCTGGTGTCAGGTCATTATATCCTTTCTAGCAATGAACTGAACTGAACTCACTACTGCAGTATGCCTGACTTAAATGGCGCTTTTGCACTTGTTTAGTTAGACTTTAGTTAGACTTTAGTTAGGTTAGACTTTCTGACACTGGAACTCATAAAACTCGTAGAATTATTATGGTTGGAAAAGACCTTCAAGATTATGGAGTCTAACCATAAACCTCCCTGCCCTGCCTGTTAAACCATGTCCCTAAGTGCCTTGTCTACATGGTTCTTGAACTCCACCAAGAATGGTGACTCCATCACTTCCCTAGGCAGCCTGTTCCAGTGCTTCACCATTCTTTCCATGCAGATTTTTTTTCCCTAATATCTAACCTGAACATCTCCTGGCGCAACTTGAGGCCATTTCCTCTTGTCCTATCGATAGTTATTTTGGAGGAGAGACAGACTCTACTTTACTACAACCTTCCTTCAGGGAGGTTGAGAGAGTGATATGGGCTCCCCTGAGCCTCCTCTTCTCCAGACTAAATAATTCCAGCTCCCTTAGCTGCTCCTCACAAGGTCTGTACTCCAGCCCCTTCAGCAGCTTCTTCACCCTCCTTTGAACACATTCCAGCACCTCAATATCTTGTAATGAAGAGCCCAAACCTGAACACAGCATTCAAAGTGCAGCCTCACCAAGGCTGAACAGATGGAGACRATCACTTCCCTAGTTCCACTGGCTACGCTTTTCCTGGTACAATGCAGGATGCCATTGGCCTTCTTGGCCACCTGGGCACACTGCTGACTCATGTTCATTTGGCTTTTGACCAGCAACCCCAGATCCTTTTCTGCCATGCAGCTCTGCAGCCAGTTTGCCCCAAGCCTATAGTGCTGCATGAGGTTGTAGTGAGCAGCATGTAGGTCCCTAGCACTTGGCCTTTTTGAACCTCAAACAGTTGGTCTCAGCCTGTCCAGATCTCTCTGCAGAGTCTTCCAACCCTCAMGCAGATCAACTCTTCCTCCCAGMTTRGTGTCATCTCCAAAGTTGCTGAGAGTGCACTCAATCCCCTCATTCATATTGTTGAAAATATATTAMAGAGGACTAGCCCCAGCCMYGAYCSCTGGGGAATGCTCCTTGTCTCCAGTTACCACCTGGATTTAACCCCATTCATCACCACTGTCTGGTGGTGAACTGGCCATCCAGTTTGTCACCTAGCAAAGAGTACAATTGTCTAAGCCAACTTCATCAGGAGAGTGCTGTGGGAGATGGTGTCAAAGGCCTTACAGAAGTCTAGGTAGACCACATCCACAGCCTTTCCCTCATCCACTAGGTGGATCACCTCRTCGTAGAAGGAGATCAGGTTGGTGAGGCAGGACCTGCCTTTCATGAACTCACGTTGGCTGGGCCTGATCCCCTGGTTTTCCTGTGTATGTTTCGATTGTCCTCAAGATGATCTGCTCAATTACTTTCCCCAATACCGAGGTCAGGCTGACAGGCCTGTAGTTTCCTGGATCCTCCATCCGCCCCTTCTTTTAGGTGAGTGTTACATTGGCAAATCGTCAGTTATCTAGGCCCTTCCCTGTTGACTAGGACCGCTCATAGATGATGGAGAGCATCTTGGTGAGCACTTCTGCCAGTTCCCTCCAAACCCTCAGGTGGATCCCATCTGGCCCAATAGATTTGCGAGTGAAAGATCTGGTTCCAGCTCATTCCTTGATCTGAAAAGACAGAAAACAATTTCTYTCACTAAGACTAGCTATCAGATTAAGGTAGACCCTCTGCTTTTTGCTCCTGTTTGTTTTGCCCATCTCAGTGCTATTTAGGGGATGGGGAAATTGTGATACACATGTACCACGAGAAAAATGGCAGACATATGCCAAGAATAATGGCTTTTCTTTTTCTCTCTCTCCTTTTTTTTCCCTTAGGGTGGAATGTACATGTTACAGCTCGTGGACACTTATGCAGCTTCTTATTCTCTTGTCATTATTGCCATCTTTGAGCTTGTTGGGGTATCCTATATATAYGGTAAGAAAAAAACACTGGTTTTGGACAGCCTATGTAAAAGGGACACTATCACATAGAGCAAGGTAGATGGTATCACGAAACTCTTAACAAGTAACATTTAAAAAAACCCTCAGCCACTAAGAAATCGGAATTCAGAAACATCTTTTTGAATTGAGGAGTTACAGAACTATGCAACTACAGTATTCTTCTAACCGTATGTATACAGGAGATTATTTTATTTAGCCTGATGTCCTTTTTCTACCAGTAATTCAAAACCATTGCCTAGGGATGAGTACAAGAAAAGAGCAAATATAAAGTGAACTGTCTTCAGAGACTTACTCAGAGTCTCCAACAGTATCAYGGCTCAGAGACTTTCTGAACTCCATCTTTGGAGTTAACATCTTTCGATAGAATCACAGAATGCTTAAGGTTGGGAGGGACCTCAGAGATCATCTAGTCCAACCCCCCTGCTCACACAGGGTCACCAAGAGCATGTGGCACCGGGSTGCGTCCAAGTGGATTTTAAAGATCTCCAGAGAAGGAGACTCCACAACCTCTYTGGGCAGCCTGTGCCAGGGCTCTGGCACCCTCACTGTTAAGAATTTCTTTCTTAAGTTCCTGTGGAACTTTTGGTGCTTCAGTTTGTGGCCGTTTCCTCTAGTCCTATCGCTGGCCACCACTGAAAGAGGCCGCCCCCTCCTCCTCACTGCCTCCCTTGAGGTATCTATAGACACTGATCAGGTCCCCCCTCAGCCTCCTCTTCTCCAGGCTGAACAGGCCTGTGCTAGCAAGTTATGAGGGATTTGACAGACAATCCTGAAGGGGAATTCATTCAAAAAATCTAGGGAAAAATAAAAGAGAAGATAATCTATATACAGTTCTGTGCTCAAAGCACAGAATTAGCTCGAACTGATGATCCTACCAGGCACTCTATGTCAGTCTGGTGTGCTGTACTGCGTTGACTTCCCAGCTTTGCTAAGTCTGAATCAGTCTTTTTAAGAGATGTGTTGAAATCCCTGAGAAGAGTATGGGTTTGGATTCTGTTTTTCCTTWCTTCTCCCATCTCTCTATCTCTCTCTCTCTTTTTTTCCCTCGTCTGAATGATTAAAAAGCACTGGTTAAAAGCACTACGTGATGTCACCTCTCCTTGCCAACGTTATCAATAGCATCACTCAGTCATCACTCGTGCATGTTTTTGAATACACATGAAGGTTTTGCATGGAGAAAACACTGGATCTAGTCCTCCTTTAAACACTGGGTGGCAGAAGTGCCACAAATCTGCCTTTATGGAACGTTTTATTACACTTGCAAACAAAATTGTGCCCATTTTCTTCCAACAAATTAATTATCCATTTTTATATATATACACATATATATGTATTTTCTCGAAAGAAACATAATAATGTAGACTAAGAGTATTAGTAGGGATTTGAGTAGATGACACAAATTACTAGTTAGGGTGTTATTTTAATGTGATTGCAGTTTGGAAAAAAATGGATAATTTTTTTCCCATGCTCTGTCTGTACCAACAGATTGGTAAATCAAAGCCTACTAGCAAATGTTGATTTAAAAAAAAAAAATTGGAAATGATTCCCTAAAATTAAGCTTTTGCTAGTCTAAATAGCATTCATTCTTATAGCACCAAAAATCAAGGATTTATCTTAAAATCTTTACCTTACAACTTTTACTTCATAATGCATTACAGCTACTTTTTTTTTTGCATCAAAGCTACTTTTATGAGGATTTCCTTATTTCTTTGCACTCACTTGTTCTTCGTTAGAGCTCGTGCTATGTAATCCTGTCAAATGCTGCCTCATGCTGGTGTAGATTTTTATTACCCAGTTGTTAAGATTTTGATGYGTGATTGGTAAAGAACAGTTTAGAGCTGTGGATATTAACTCGATCATCAGTCTAATTCCCARTGGTGTATCCTGCAACATGAAGCCAGACACATAGATAAATACAAACATTYCTATGCTTGAGTCAAATATTGCAGGAAATTGCCTGAAATTAAAAATGTATTGATGTATTATCTTAACTTTTCTTTCATAATCCTTTTTTTGGGGGGGGGGACACTGGACCATCTTTCCTCAATGCTGAAARCAGACAGTCACGTGGATAGATTAAATTCTCCTCAATATCAACTGCAAGGCTTTGAAATTAGGCAGATCAAGCCTAGGGATTCTCTCTCACGTTCAGCAGCTGCTATGGTTGGTTTTAAGGACAATAAGAAGTTTATTTATTTATTTATCTATCTATTTATTTATTTATTTATTTATTTATTTATTTATTTATTTATTTGCAAATTCTTCCCTCCTTACACACCTAGATTCCTCCAACACGTCAAGCTCCATCCTGTCTCCCCTTCATGGCCAGGCAGGTATCAGCAGTGGGGTGACTGTGGAAAGAGAGCCAGTGAACTGGTCCCTCTGCTGCTGTAAGGTCTGAAATAGCAGTTTTTATTAGTACCAATAGTAGACCAAAGCAAACACAGCAGAGCCCTCCCCAAGAGCAAAATATTAGTTTAATTAAAAAGGAGATCTGATACCTTTTACCACAGAAACATCTTCAAAAGATACAATGGGACCTCAAATAACTTTGGAATATATGGTTATTATTAACTGAATATTATTAACGGAAGAATTAACACTAATGCATCTTTCAATTATTTTTTGATCTGACAACACAAAATAAAAATCAAAATCTTTACACGTGCTCTCTAATAATTCAAATTATTGCTTATGTATCAATTGAAAAATAACAGAACATTATCAGGATGCTAGAGGATACAGAAAAGCTCAGTTCCTGTCTATGCTGAAAAAAGTATTCAGGTGATCATCTTTAATGACCRTGTATTGTGTGTTTTAAAGAAATATTATTACCTTTATGAATAAAAATTATCCTTATAGCAAAAGGCATCAAATACAAATAGAACTGCAGCTAACAAATACATTCTATTAATACATTGGTATGAAATACACTGAATGCTTAATCTCTATATACCAGCTAAATCTTTACGACCTTTACAAAGCAAGTATTTGACTAGAATGATTTCCATCATAATATTCTCACTTTTGGTTGTGCGGTGAGCAAGAAAGTCAGAGTTTGTTGTTATAACTAGACACCAGGGAGATCTCAATAGCCTTGTTACCACTTGCAGCCGGGTTCTTTTGCCCCAACTATATTTATGCTTGCTATTGACAGGATTGCAAAGGTTTTGTGAAGATATAGAAATGATGATTGGATTTCAGCCAAGCAAATTCTGGAGAGTCTGTTGGGCATTTGTGACCCCCACTATTTTAACGGTAAGCAGAAAATTTCTGAATGTCACCTTCTAAGATGTTCTTGCCTAATGATACCTTCTAAGATGCTCCTGTCTAATGTTACCTTCTAAGATGCTCTTGTCTAATATCACCTTCTAAGATGCTCTTGCTCTTGTTAACATAATTATTGAAGTGGTTTCTCTGGGAATCATGATGCTTCTGACCAATAATAATTAGATCTTGACTGTTGATCAGCTAGATGCCTAGACATACACACATATGCACATATGTTCTTCTATGTGTAGAGAAGGTGAAATAGAGCTTAAGTAGTGGGATTTTGGTGAGTTTCCAAAGGTTGCTGCTGTGTTCGTCCCCTGCCTGTACCAAACGCTGGTACAGGATCCCATTGCATACCAATATCTTTTAACTGTAGTATATATGTGTATTTGATATGTGTGTGTGTGTTAGAGAGAAAGAAGAGCTGTATGATTCCTCTTTCTTTCTACTTTCATGTTATACTTCTATTTTAGTTCACCATTTCAGTTAAAAGTTCCAGTTCTCTTCCAGTTCTCTCAGTTTTACAGTTGTTAATCATGCGTGTCCATGGGTTAAAATGCAACTGCCATGGGTTAAAATGTCTATGTTGAGCATCTGACCTTGAAACACCAACTCTCCTCTGTAACTTAACCTAAATTTCATTGTGTACTGTTGTCATGTTTTGGCCTAAGAATTAAATCATTTATCCTGGTAAAGTGAATAAATGAGTCAGTACAAGACAAATGGGCCTTCCTTAGCCAGTGCTTTGTGTTGAAGGGAAGGCACTTTAGGGCTGGATGATGGAGGTGGCAGAATTATCAGCATTTATTTAGGGGTTTAAAAATCTGTAATTTTACAGCAATACTAAATATTTCACAGTAGTGTTTCTATCAGGAAGAAGAGTGAGAATAGATTTTTTTCTGTCAGAAATTCTAGTGAATTTCTGAAAGATGGCACATTTTGGAGCAATGATAAGCATAACGTTGTCCAGGTAGTTGAAGAAGCTCTCTGGAGTCATTTTCAGTTGTTGCTTCTAGAGAAGTCTTCTCATACCCTGGAAAACTCACATTTATACTGATCTTTAGCAGACCATCTTGGTAAAACTTTTCTTTTAATGGCTGAAAAGAGAATCCCAGTTAAAGCTGATTGATAAACTACTTTCAGCAATGGTTATTTCATAAAGGAGGATTTTTTTCCCCTGAAAACTAAAGAGTTTTTTTTTTTAAATACTTGAAAAATCCATGTTTGAAAAGTTCAAAGTAGTCCAGTTCAATCAATAGCAGTAGGCTGTATAAGCAGGAACATGTATTTTACCTTGAGAGCTTGAGAGGAATATTTGTTACCTTTGAGTAATTTAGTATTAAACTCTCAATTATTTCATGTATCTAGGAATAAAACTGTTTGTTTTTATATGTGCTTTCACCTAGCTATACTGTTAAACATTTTCCACAGGGAATTGTTGTGAGAATAGGCATTTCCCAAAAGTTACTGAATTATGCACAAATTTAAGCAGGTGTATTTCTATTCATATGGTAGGGCAAATGGAATAACTTAGCATGATTGCATTAGGTAAAACTGTCAATAGACCAAAAAACTGTCTGAAACTGTCAATAAAGCATGCTGCTCTAAGGGCAAGATTGTACTTGCCATTCTTCTGCCATGAATACAGTGATTTTGGTKGGAGGTTGCAAGTTTTACATGAAATCCCTTAGATTCTCATATGTTTATTGCAGTTGTGGGAGCAATCTGCCTAGATACATGTCCTTTTATCTTTATTCCMTACGTACCCAATCTGTGGATACCTACCATTAGTTAGATAGCGGGCTTTTATTGCTTATCCCAGCACATATTTTCCTTCTTTGTTTCTAGTTCATTCTCTGCTTCAGCTTTTATCAATGGGAACCAATGACTTATGGAGCTTACCACTATCCAGCCTGGTCCATGGTCCTTGGATGGTTGATGCTGGCCTGCTCCGTTATTTGGATACCGATAATGTTTGTAATAAAAATGCATCTAGCCCCTGGCAAATTTATTGAGGTAATTTTTCTGTCTTTTACTTTTTTTCTACTTAAAAGTATAGGAAGCTCTTGTTTACATTGGTTTTTACAATACTGAATGGCTAATGGTGCTAAGATTATTTTCTGGTGAAATAGTTTTGATGTTGCAAAGAGGTGCTTGGTTGATTTAAAACACAGACTTTCTACTCCTTGCCTCTCAACAAAATAYTCAACAAAATACTTAACAAAATTGTTAAGTGAGTGTTTTTATGAAAACTAGGAGGAGCTGCAGATCTCTTAAGCCCTGGACTGGTGTTACTGCTAGAAAGTTTGTTTTTCCAGCTAGGTGGAAGACCTCTGGCTAAGAGGTCTATTGGCCTCTTTTGCAAAAGCAGCCTGCAGAAGCAGGAAGCCTCAAATGCTTATGCCTACCACATGTTAACAAGCCTGATGACCAGTGCTAGGAGACACCAACCATGAGTTGGCTCATTGCAAGGAGACAGACCATCAAGTACCCAAGATGCCCTCGAGTGCTTCCAGAAAGTTTTGCCACTTCATGAAGTTCCACAGCGAGAAATGTGGAAAGACCTCATGCTCCATCTTCATATTGCAAAACTTAGCTGGCAGTCTTCGTTTTCTCTCCTCTTCAAGTCTTTGTTTTTTCTTGGACAAACTGATCCTCTCTCGCATCTGGGCTTAAAAAATGCTTCTTTCAGTCTCTTGGTGTGTCACCCTGTCTGTGCCTAAAGGAAAAGGCCATACTTCTCTGTTTCATATAGAGCAAAGAAGTTAATATTAAGCAGTAGGACACCCAGAGGGAAGCAGAGCTGACCCTAGGCAACAAGGCCACTTGTCTAAAGGACCATCCAGTCCTTGCATGGAGCATGTTGGAGTGCACAGGTCAGTAGAGATAACTGCTCCTGATGGAAACAAGCTAATAAGAAATTAGACTTACTTGCTCCTCATCTCTCAATTTTCAGTTGATTCCTAGACTATGGGCCCTGCTTAGAAATAAGTGCTTTTACAGTCGAGCTTCTGTTTTTTTTTAAAAAGCAGTGATTCTGTTCCTCTCATTGAGACAAAACATTCTCCTGCTCATCTTCTAATTTATCTGGGTGGAATAAGTGTGTACATTGCCTCAAAAAATCGGATGCTCTTCCTGCTGTTCCCTTGGCAGTGCACCCAAGGAAATGGCAAAAGAAACACCAGGGGATTTTTGTTGTTTGCCAGGTTAACATTCTCTTTTTTCTTCTTCCCGCAGATGGAAGTGAAGCATTTTATCATCTCAAAATTAAAATCCTTTCTCATTCATAACCATGTACCTCGTTTCGGTCATTTGTATACTTTTGGGAGATATGCTAAATAAAAATCCCGATATTTTAATGCAGTTGCCCGCTGCATAAACAATTGGGCTAAGTAAGTGAGCACAAGTCCTGCAGCAAGCAGCACAATCTGCAGGGCTCAGTTCCCTTCATATGATGTGGGGAAGAATGTGTGCTTAAAATCAGGGCACTTAATTAATCTTTTATTAATCTTGAAAAGTTTGGGCCAACCTAACACTCTGCAGTGGAGCATTGCAGGGCTGTCATCAGTAAGCGCAAGTGAGCCTAGCCTTATTTCTTCTGCCCTTGAATTCTGTATTTTCCAATGAGACTCTCTCTTCTTTCCCCCCATTGCAGCGGCTCAAGCTGGTGTGCTCTCCACAGCCTGACTGGGGTCCGTTTTTGGCCAAGCACCGTGGCGAACGTTACATGAACATGATTGATCCACTGGGAACCTCCTCCCTGGGACTTAAACTGCCAGTGAAGGATATAGAGCTGGGGACCCAATGCTAATAATTCCTACATCAGTGGCAATAGCATCGTTAGCCTTTTTTGGATACCTTTTTTTTTTTTCCCCTCTATTAATTTCCTAGCAATTCTTCTTTTCTTTCTCACAGTGCCTGAAAGTGGTTGCTTTGAAACTAAAACTTACCATTGCATGCTGTAGTGAAGAACTAGCTAGACCACTTTCAGACGTAAGTGATGCCCAAGACGTATTCTCTTTGCTGCAAACAGCAAAAGCATGTTGTACAAGAATTTACATCCCAGTTTTGGGTCAGGCGGTGTAAAAATCAGCAAATAAACAAGCAAACATGTCAAGGGAATTTAAAGGGACAAGCAAAATTTGACCAATTTTATGCAAGCCTCCTTATAGCAGATGGCTATGATGAGGCTGGGGTTGTGTTGCCCATACGACCAAAGTGACGTTCAGCCCTTGAGTGGGATGTAAGTGAGGAAAGTGTTGGGGGGCTACAGGCCAAGCAGGGCTCTCTCCTGTGAATCCAGAGCAAGGCCATCCATGTTAAGACTCTTGGGGGCTTGCTCTTACATTGGCGATGGCAGAACTTGCCTGCTTGATTTGTGAGCACAGATTATACTGAGTTTGAGGTCTGCAATGATCTACGGGGTCTTCTTGAGTGGAGAAACGTAAGCAAATGTCAAAATAATCATTTGAGCTGGGAACTAAATTGTCTCTGAGTCTGGAAATGGTTTTGASATAGTGCCAGACCGGATGGGCATCACAGCTTTAAGTACTTTCATCTCCTTCTATTTGCCTTTTCAATGGAAAATGCCTCGGTTATACAAAGCATTTAAAACTTTGCCCTTTTGGCAAACTACTTACACAGTAAGTGCAAGCACAGTTCAACTCACTTAAATCCAAAACGCGAAATATAGTTTCCCTTGTCTCTCTGCTTTTGTTTACAGTATCTCCTCAAGAAGCCATCATATAATTTGTGCCTAATTTTGTATTCTTACCGTGTTAAGTGCAGCCTAGTTACCACCTGACACCACTAATTAGAGGCTAGATGTGCTGTTGAACTTTGTGACTCCCCAGCCATTCTCCCAKAAACATCTTTCTACAACCTTTGGATGTATTCTTCTCTTTCAGACAGAAGGGAAATAACAGAGCCTTGGTTGTCTTTATATTACATATATAGCACGCAAAGTCTTCTCTTCTCTCTGGAATGAACATAGTTTAGCTTTTCTTTTTGCCTTTAAAGCATTTTCATGAGAGAAAAGAAGTAAACCCCACCAATTAACCAATATAATCATCCCCAYGGATGCAACATTAGATGCACAAAATATGAAGGCTGGGGAAGAGGATGACTTGGTAATGGCCATTGCAATAGGACTTTTTAAATCATTACCATTCAGATGTATGTGGCAATTCAAGCGTTAGACTTAAATAGTTTTATTATCTATTGGGCAGAGTAAAACCAGAGCTTTTAAGAATAAGTTTATTTAACTGAATAGAAAATTAGCCCAATTTATTGTAAATGCACTAGAACGAGGGAGAAAAATATATCGTCAATAATTGGCAAAAATGTAACCTTTTACTATCTTCTTATATCCTATGCATACATATATGATATTTTTAAAAGTGATCCGTGTTCACGTAGTGTGTACTAGTGATGTTCTATGTCCCTCTAAATATCTTATCAATCTGTGTAGAGATGGTGAACTTCTGGTAGCTTAGCCTCTTTTTTCCCTTCCCACCCCACTCTAGTAGTAGCCAATAAATGTTCTTTCCTTTCAGGGGACTGTTTCTATCCCGTTCTTTTGTCTGTCTGTCTGCATATTACAGGGTCTCAGGTAATTCTTCAGTTCATGTGTGTCTGTAGATCAGTAGCTGCGTTTTCATCCTGTCAAAGAGGAAAAAAAAAACCACAAAAAACTAAACCTTAATGTAACACTTCCGCAAATTATTACCTTCCTTTCTCTATGTGTGTGTGTGTGTATATATGTCTATTAAATATATTAATCATTTTGCTGAACTTCCTCTTTCACGGAGCACTTTGTGCTGCCAGCCACAGGCACTGCTGGAGATGTTTAATCCTCAGGCAGGACAAGCGAAGGGATCAGCGGGCGCTGTCCCGGTTGGAAGCAAGGATGGACTTGGCATCGGTTGCGCTGGTCCCTGACCCTCTGCTCCCCGCGCTCCGCTAGTCCCCGGCACACACAGCAGCAAGACTTGGACCCTCTGCAACCATCGCTGCCTTTCCACCGGGCCGCCTTCACCAGCTCTTCTCATCGTGGGGCCTCTGGTTCCCCTTCTCGTGGGTTTCTGCTCTCCTGGCAGGGCAGGCTGGAGGCACCACGTGGTGTTTGATACAGTGAAGATGTATAAAGACAAACCAGGATTGACATCTATGTCTCAGTGAGGGCAAGGGGACTATGTTGCCCAGGGAAAGGAATTACTGGGGTCCTTCCTACCTGCAAAGGTCAAGAAAGGAACCTAAATCAGGGAGCACTATCTATGGGATCTACGTGTTTTGCCAGGACAAATAGCTTTAGCGGTCTCTTTACCATTATGRTCTAAAGTCTCGGTTTGCTTTTAGGAGAGCAGTCCAGTTTCACTTAATTGCTATTGTGATTAAAAAAACAAAAGAAAWACAAAGAAGGAAGGAAAAAAGAAAAGCCCAAATGCTCGTAGAGTTTGTTCTTAAAAAACAAACAAGCAAAAATATCTTAATCGCTTAATAGTTCTCAATCCTTTCCCTTCCTAACGTGTTATCTCAGGACATGTCTTTGAACTGGGATTAACTATTTGCAGTAAAATTGCCTTGGTGTGAGCACATGTCAACTACTGCCTATGTAAAGGACAAAAGGGATCTATATTATTTGGAGGAAAGCTGCTAGGTTACAATATCTTTCCTTTGGCTGGGATTACTAGAGCGGAATGCATATGAAAACTTGCATTGCTTTCTGTGATTTCTGTAATTAATCTGCTTGCAATTTCATGGTGGTGCTCCATGGTGGTGTTCCATGGCTGTGGAAGTCACTTGCACAGGATCCGGTCTGAATTGGAAGCTCTGAAAATGGATGGTGGGTTTGATTTGGTTTTAGTGGAGTTTATCTTCGGCTTTAATATCTAAAACTGAGCTTGCAAAGGCGTTTGGAGTGGGAGAGAAGTGATTACAAAAATCACAGAAGAACTGAATGTTTCACTGTAAATTAAAAGGAAAAAAATCCTATTAGGTTTAAAGATATATATATATTTTAGTGGGAAAATCTGAATGTTGAGATTAGATTAACCAGCAGTGTCTTCTTTAAATGAGAAGTAACCTTGCAGTTTGGGAATGCACTTTATTTACYGTATTCTAGAAAAGTTTGCATGTACTTTGATAACTTTCTAGAAATAAATTTAGTATCTAATTAAATTCCAGTAAAAATCTTTTCAAAAGAAGGAGAGGAAAAAGCCATATTAGTAGTAATGTGACATATGTACTTGCCGATCTATCTTGAGTAAAAAAAAAAGATAAAATTTGGTGAGAATTACTTCTGTTGCATATTTTTTCTTTGAAATGAAATTGGATTTTTGAGTAAGATGCACTATTGCATGCATTAAAAATTGCACTTAATGCAAATTCTTGTCATCTTCAAATTCTTTGGAGTCTTCACAGCATTTTTAATACACAGCACTAAAGAAATCTGTGTTTCAGCTAGCCATGGCAGCACTTGTTTCTAAAAGAAGGGTTTAACAAAATGATCCTTAATTTGAGGAAGACTTGCATTGCCTTTATATGATGTTTCCATTGAGTCAAAGCGTTCTTCTGCTTACTTTCTGCTCCACTGACCAAGCAGGTGTACCTCAGCACAGAAKATCATCGCTTCTCATGTGCTTTGGCTATCTCTTGCCATCACACTACAAATCTCAATTCTTTTTAGGTACCCTTGGTCTTCATTTTGAATATGTGTGCTATTGTACAGATAACATTTTTATTGTCCGTGATGAAGCAGTCATTTATTTGTGGCTGGCCTTGCTTTCCTGTGGCTTTTTCTTCYTGCATCTCCACTGCTTGCAACCAAAGCTGCGGGCAGACCTGGAGGGGTTGAGGACTGCAGGTTGTGCAGCTGTGGCAAGTTCTGGCCCACGTTTGTTAATGCCACGCTCGAGATGATCGAGATGCTTCTTAGTTTGGAGTGAAATGCTCGTGTAAGGTAGCGGTGAAATGGTCAGAGGGAGGTTGCTCAGGTTGCTGGCTGGAGGGTGAAGAATTGGAGCTTCGGGGTTTCTGCCTCGGCCAGCCTTGGGCAGGCTATCACCAAAGAAAGGCTATTGTTTCTTGACAGATTGACTGTAAAATGTGAGAAACAGGCTGGACCTTATTGCTTGCAATATTATTATTTGCCCATAGCATTTTGAGGACATCTTCAGGTAGCCATTTGCCTTATAGGGACCTTCTATTGTTGGGAAAATATCGGTGGACGAAAAGGATGCTGTTATCTGTCCTTTCTATTATGTAGGGTACCTTGTAAGGTAGATGCTTAGCCGGTATAAATGGTCACAGCTTTGTCTGGTGCTGTGTCAATTTACACCAGCTGAGAATTTGTGCCCTGTGTCCTATGGCACTTTATTACAGGCCCATCACTGATGGGTTAAATCTTAATTACTTGCGTAATGTCATATATAAATATATATATATATATATTTACAGGCATTCTATGGGGTACTGCTGCCTATGGATAAAGACTTGTACCCTAACAAGGTCATTCTATTTTTTTATCCATTAGCTGTATGTGGAGAAGATAGATTACGTTACAAAGGATGCATCATATATAGCTCAYGTAGWGCATATTACAATGCTGTRCGTGGTCATTTAAGACATCATTCTTCTTGAGGCCCTACCTCAGATTTTGTATTTATGTGTATAAATGCAATTTRTTGTATTATATAATTGCCTATTCTATTTGGATGTCATCAATTAAAATTATCCAATAACGTGGGCTCTAAAGACACCAAATAAATGTCCAGTGTTTAAACTATCCAAGAAGTTGGCAGTGTATTGGCGACTAGACTCTCTCTTCTCCCACCCTCTCCTACCTTACCCAATGCATGCCAGAAACACCATTCTTAATTAATATATAGCCTTAAAGGTATCTGCAGAACCTGTTGCTTGATTGCTGGAAATCTTGAGCTGCAAGGGCAAACAACCCTGCCAGGACCAGGAGCTATTGCAGAGCTGCAGAAAGAAATCCTATTTAAATGGCTGGATTCTTAACGAGGAGAGCGCTCTGCAGGTGCTGCTTGTTTTCCTGCCTAGGGAGCCTACAAAAACAGAGCCCAAAGGCCTGGCCAGTTGAGGCCTTTCTGAGTCCTCTAGTGGAAGGTTATGGGGTATGTTTCTGGCTGCTCCTGGCCCTGCTTTGGGGTGAAATGTGCCTGAATTTGAGTGGAGAGAGGAAGACTTGGTGCATTTGCTTTGCACCTGAGCAGGAGCAGCCCTGCTGCTCTGCAGCAGTGAGAGCAGGCTGGGGAGCTGCAGAGGACACTTGGAGCTGTGTTTGTTCCCRGSTGSTGCCTGGGTCATCTGTGGCTGCTGCTCTCACCTGCCTCTCCTGGTCCTTGCTCTGCACTCTGGCCATGGCAGTGAGCAGCTCTTTGGTACAGGTCTTCTGCATTGGAAATATTAGAGCAACTAGCACAGAGAAAAGGGCTGGGGATTTAACTACAGCCTCTTCAAGACCAGGGAATTTTTTTTTTTTATTTTTTATGTTCATATTTTTTATTTATATCTTTTATATTCATATTTTATTTTATTCTTTTTATTTTATTCTTTTTTTTTATTTTCTTATTTTTATTTTCTTATTTTTATTCTTTTTTATTTTTTATTTTTTTAATTTTTTAATTTTTATTTTTTCTCCAGGGAGCTAAAATCAAGGGTCCTTTACTGAAGTACCTTACTGCCATCAGTGTGGGAGCTTGTAGCACATGGTGCTGATGGCTGTGGTGCAGCTGCATAGCTGAGGCTTCCCCTCTCTAACTCCCCAGGAGAAAGACAGGGTATGGAAGGGTTGAAGATGAAGTGGGATGTGATGATAAACAATGGAGCACCTGGAAAAGACTAGAGACAAGAAAACAGCACAGCAAACTATCTTCCTTCTTCTGGACACAA